TTTCCTTATCTTTTAGTTCTCTTGGTTGTAAAAGAGTGAGCACATCTTGTGTCTCTTTTTAATTACAAGATATCGTAAAAAAAAACTATGGTGACAAAGTCACATTTCCGTATAATAATATATTTTAAAATATCATATTTTGCTAATTTAATTATATTTTACTTGTTGTGCTACAGTATGTTAAATATTGGTTACTCTGGATTGTTTGTAGTTGATGACACTCCAAAGATGTTATGTGGCCTGTCTTGATTCCATATACCGATTTTTAAACGCACCCGTGTCATTCATTATATATTCTTGCATGTTTACCCAATTTGGCTAATTTGTATTATTGTCATAGCTTTCCCAAACATTGAAAATATATATGTGACATTTATTGTGAACCTTTATGTTAAAATAGTATATATCTTTCGACAATCGATCCGAAATATTGAATAACATTCTATGAATTTGCAGCGTTTCCCGGCCTAGTTCGACGTACGATGCTCATTCTCCGCGTTTCTTAGAGTTCGAAATATCTGAGAGGTGACTTTCTTCCTCAAATTACTGGTATATATTGTGATGAATTTGTCTTAAATTGTCTTTCGTATGTTGCATTTTCTTGATACGGATTCATTCCGTGTATACTTTGCGTTTTGACAGAAACGCAGTATACTACTGTTTTGTGCACTAATTAGTTGATATGGATAAGACATGGATGTATTCCAATCGATTGTCGAAAGACTACGAGAATGGTGTTTCCGAGTTTGTTAAGTTTGCTGTTGCGCACGCCAAAGACCCCAGTCGTATGACATGTCCCTGTTAGTATTGCTGTTATGGGAACTGGGTTGACGCAGTTCAGTTGGTATCGCATTTAATTCGGTATGGAATTGATAGGAGTTATACATGTTGGAATATGCATGGTGAGAAAAGTAACGGGAATGTTGGATCGGGGTATGCAAGGAACTATGTTTCAAATGATGATTGCACAGATACATACGATTATGATCGAGTCGAAGAAATTGCAGAAGCGCTTGAAGAAGATCTTAACGATTGTCCCAAAATGTTCGAGAGGTTGGTAAGCGATGCAGAGAAACCGTTGTATAATGGTTGTACAAAATTCACAAGATTGTCTGCGGTGTTAAAGTTGTACAACTTAAAAGACGGCAATGGATGGTCGGATAAAAGTTTCACAGAGTTATTAGCCCTTATGAAAGATATGCTACCAGAGGATAATGTTCTTCCCAATCGAACGTATGAGGCCAAAAAGATGTTGTACTCCATTGGCATGAACTATGATAAGATACATGCGTGTCCAAAAGATTGCGTTTTGTTTCGAAACGAGTATGCATCGTTAAATGAGCTATGAGCTATGATAAAACTAATATATATTGGTATTTCTAGATTAGATTGTAAAATACCGGTTTAAGAATTACAGGTTTGCTGCAAAAAAATGGAGGTTTAGAAATTTTTTAAATTTTAGATTTTTCAGTAGAAAACCTATGAAAGCGCTTTTAAGAAAAAAACGCTCTCGTAGGCCTACCTATGAAAGCGCTTTTTGATTAAAAGCGCTTTCATAGGTAGGCCTACGAGAGCGCTTTTTCTGAACAAAAAGCGCTCTTATAGGCCTACTTTATACGCATTCTGAATACACCTATAAAAGCGCTTTTTCAGAAAAAAGTGCTCTCGTAGGCCTACCTATGAAAGCGCTTTTTACCAAAAAGCGCTTTCATAGGTAGGCATACGAGAGCGCTTTTTTCTGAACAAAAAGCGCTGCTAAAACCTTTAGCAGCGCCACCTACGAGAGCGCTTTTAAGCGCTTTTAAAGCCCAAAAAAAGCGCTTTCGTAGGTTATTTCTGGCATAGTGTACATGCTTTTAACAGGTTAAACTTGCAATCTTCAAACATTATTACAAAATAAGAGACTATGATCTTGAATAAAATTTTCAACATAGCACCTATATAACAACTCTTAGAAGGAACTTTTGCATCTCTAGACACTAAGGAAATAATCCATGAGTCATTTTAATTAGTTATATGTGAAAGAGTGACATAATAATAGGAGAATTATTGGTATTTTTTAAAATGATCTAAACATCCTTAATATAGGGAAACATTAGCTCAAAAGAGAAACAATCCATGGATCATGTTAATGATTTAATCAATTAAATCAATGTATTAATAAATTAACCAATTTAAATTAGAAAACTTTAAAATTCTATGCCATTTTATCGATTAATCGCCCCTTAATCATATATGAGGCATTATATTTTGATTTAATCGATTAAAAATACATTTTAATCGATTAGGTAGTGTGTGTTTACCTCCTATTGATTAAACAAGCTTGATATTAATTAAGTGTTTTTCCCGTATAGGTTTTCAAAATATTTATCAAAAGAGAAGAAGTTCGAAAATATTTTGTGTGTGTGTGTGAATGTCTTAGTATCTCAAAACATACTCTTGTTCCTTTTACAATAAATTGATCAAGAACAGGAAAAACCCTAAACACAAGACCAAGCAAGCTTTCACACTTTCCCACCTTTAAACCTTAAAGCTTCAAAATCATAACTTCAAATCTTCAAGCTTTAACATCTATAGGATCACATGTTCACACCTTCAAGATTATTTTCTTGATTCAACGTACTTTTAATTTGCTCTTTTACTAATGAGGCTTGAGATATTTATTTTTTGATTGAATGCTATATATACTTGCTAAAAAATTACAAATGCATAGAAATCTTAGGTTAGTAGGGGGTTTTAGAGGCTTTAGTGTTTACGTGAGGTTAGAGCAAGCACATAAGGGTGAGAAACTCTGTTTTAGAGGTTTTTTCTTTGAGTATATAAGATTGTTCTCTCCACCCTCTTCTGATCAAATTATTTATATAGGCTTGTGGACTTGAATTTAGGATTTCTTAGAAATAGAAATTGCTAGTAAATGAGAGTGAACTATTAAAATTTTTTTTTTTATAAAGACGTGTGTTATTCTTCAGACTTAGACCTCACACCTCAATCTTGGCGATTCCAAGATCACGCAAAGAGAAAATCGCATTTGAAAATTTCTCAACCGCCTTGCAGGTGACTTGATCCCTCACCATACTTGTTACTCGATTCTCTATTATTCATAACTTTTTCTTCTCCAAAATTTCCATAATATTATTTGTCATGCTCAACCAATCGGTCAAGCTAGTAACTTAACAACAAAAATACTAAAGAATACGTGACTAGAAAAACTAAGCATAAACAATCCGTCAATCGAAAGAACTAATTCAAATTAATGCAATTCTTTATTTTAAATAACCTAAACTAAACTAAACTTTACTCTCTCTCTATATATAAAGACAATATGTATTTGAAATGACCAGAGTAATTTCACCATAATAAAGAAGTATGGAATTGTCAAGGTACGTACAACAACAACATTGTCTAAAGACATATTATACACTAACAAAGCAATCTATCTATGCATTTAGTATTGCCTAAATAGGCTAATAAAGGTAGATAGCCAAAGTAATGAAAAAAACACAAACTTTAAAAGCAAACCCTTCAACTTTGATTTTATTAGGCAGCAAAGGACAGCGTCAATAAACTAAAAAGTAGGCTCAAATTGAATGTAACACAACCGTATGGTATACATTCTCAACTACTTCAATCACATTTTCTTTTCAACAACTAATTCCCTATCTCACACGCCAAAAATAACACTCACTACTTTTACACCTTTTCCTTGTTCATTCTACTAAAGTCTTCTCTGTTTTTATATCTTTGTTTATAGGAAACTTCAAATGTTTATCTACCACATATTATTATAGTAATAATTAATGCAAAACTTAATGTTAAGATTTTTATGATTAATTAACGGTTTTAGTTTTCTATTTTACTTATTTACGAAATTAATCTTTCAATTTTTCCAATTTTAAATTCAATCAATGTTAGTTCCATTCCCATATTTTTGCTTTCAAAATTTATTGATATATTTCTTTTTAAACGACGGTCAAACTATTATATAAAAATCTTCGTGAAACATTAAAAGATAAAAAAAATATATTACATGTGAAAAATAGACATATAATTAATTTTTAGTGCAAAATTTTAAGAAAAAAATTCAATTTATTTTAAGTTGAAATAGAAATTTTCATTTTGTAATTGTCAGAAAAGAACTCAAATTATTTGGAATAGAAAAATTAGTTTTATAAATTAGATAGAATAAAGGGATCAAACTATAATTTAACCAAAATATTAACATAAAATAAAAAATTAAAGAGAAAAATATGAAATTAATTAGTAATGAGTCTCATTCCATATTGAAGTTATTTTCTATTGACGTTTAAGATAATAACTGTTCCGAGCTCTTTGTTTTTTTTGAAATATTTATTATTTGTATTTCTGTCATTAATGAACTACTAGGTCATATCAACATAAACCAATCAAAGAGAGAATGATATGGATTTTTTTTTTTTAAAAAGGAAGGGAAAAAAAAAAGAAATTTGAAGATAAAAACCTATTCTTAAAAAAAGTCGAATAAACTTTTAATTTTAAGAGGGAAAATTAGTATTTAAATGGAAAAATTAGGAGTACATTTAAGTCAAAACAAAATAATTGATGAGAATTAAATTCTTAAGTTCATATATTATTCATTAAAAAGAACCGTGATTCACACTAACATTATGATAAATCTCAAGTTCTTTAACATAATTATAGAAAAGCTTGTTCATATTATTCATGTATGATGAGACCTTCCTTTCCTAGTTGCATTCTTACTTTATCAATATTTATTGGAACTTCATATAAGTATAATAATAATAATTAAACTTGACATTTATTTCTCAAAGTTGGCACCACATATTATTATATTACATTGAATTATAAATTTACTTTCTCAAAATTGCTCACCAACACCACCACACACTTCTTTAGTCCTTTAAAAACCCCTTCACCCTCTCTCTCATAAAAATATAACTATCCCATCTTCTTCACAAAACATCTTAGCAACAAACTCTAAATATTTTCTTGTAAAGATTGTCATGGGGAGCTTTCCTCTTTTCCAACCAATTTCCAAATGTAGCACAAAAGATAGATCAAACCAAACCGTTGCATCCGACTTAGACGGCACGCTACTCGTGTCGCGAAGCGCATTTCCCTACTACATGCTCATCGCACTCGAGGCCGGAAACATTCTAAGGGCATTATTTCTCTTATCCTTAGTCCCGTTCGTATATTTCGCGTACCTATTCGTCTCCGAGACGCTCGCGATCAAAACATTGATTTTTGTCACATTCGCGGGACTAAGGATAAGAGATGTTGAGATAGTTTCCCGGTCGGTTTTACCTCGGTGTTACGCCGAGGACGTGCATCCGGTGACATGGAACGTGTTCAATTCGTTCGGGAAACGCTACGTTGTGACCGCGAGTCCCAGGATTATGGTTGAGCCTTTTGTTAAGACGTTTTTGGGAGTTGATAAGGTGCTTGGAACTGAATTGGTGGTTACAAAAAGAGGCAGAGCAACAGGGTTTGTTAAGGAACCTGGAGTTCTTGTTGGTGCACACAAGAAAGAGGCAGTTATTAAGGAATTTGGAATTAACAACTTGCCTGATTTGGGACTTGGAGACAGTGTAACTGACTCTCACTTCATGTCAATTTGCAAGGTTGGTGTGTCTATATATATACTATATGTTAAACTTTTATCGTATTGCAAACAATATATATGTTGTATGCATAGATACTCAATTTATTTAACCCTAATTTCATATTAATAGAAGAGTATATCATGTTGCTTGAGATGGAAAATGATAGTTTAATGTTAGATGGATATTAATTAATATTCAAAATTAATTAATCATGTTTAGTTGACCTTAATTTGACTTAATTATTTTAATCTTATATATATAAAGAAATTACTAAGTTTGTTAATTAATTAATATAAGATGGTATAGTTGAGAATGGATGGTTGAAAAAGTTAGGTTATAGTTATATGGGCCATTGGTGTATATTTTTGTGTAGGAAATTTAATTCCCTCACCAAATATATAAATATCCATCTGTATGTTTGGTTATTTATGTGTATTTAATTATGAGAAAAAAATATACAAACAATATAAACTATTTTTACCCTGTCATTCAATCATTATTATGTATTCTTTTAAATCATTTTAATAATTTTAAGTTAATTATGTGACATGATTGAATGGTGAATTCCTATTAAATAATAGTATAAAATTATTTTATATGGTCAATATATTACGTGTATTCTTTTTAATTATTTTTATGAAAATTAGAAAAATTGACTAGTATATTTAATGTTTCTCTTTTTTATATGTTAATATTCTTTTGTGGATGGATTTGTCTAACTCGGATTTTTCTTCTTCTTATAAAAGACAAATTAAAAAAATTATTAAATATATAGAGAAAAACTAATGATACAAATAAAATTCAATTATAACAAAGATATCACGCCCTCTATTTTAAAGTCACTCGATTTTACTTTATCTCTAATTTTTTTTAGACTAATAAGACAAAGATATCACATGTTTTAAATAATATGACATGTGATTTAATTATGGAAAATAATCAATATCAAAGAAATTGCAAGAAAATCTCTTAGAAACTTTCAGTTTCAATTTTAAAAATTATTAATTTAATTAAAGATATTTAATTAATCAATTCATCTAAATAGTTTTATCATTATATCGTGTTATAAAAAACATATTATATAAAAATGTTTGTAGTTAAAATATAAATGAGAGACTAATTTCATGAACGAGAAAAAAATTGTAAGTTACTCTAAAAATAAAATTTAATTTAAAATAAGACTTGTTTTATTAAAAAAACTATTTAAAGATTTAAATCACATATAATTTAAATCAAGTAAATCACTTATAATTCTGCTTACATAATAATTATACAATGACTTTCGATTTTAAAAATACAAATTTAAATCTGTAATATTTCAATTATTTAAATCAACTCAATGTGTGTATTCCTTCTAGTCGCATACATGGATGTCTTTTTCATATTTCTTTTTCAGATAAGAGGATAACTTTTGTGAGCTGTTTCAATACCCTACAAAACTAGCACGTACTCTAACATGGTGATTAATAAATAAGATTGGCCCCTAATTTTTCAATGTTGGTTGAGAATATTAATGAACAAAACATATTTATATTAACCACTATTTTATTTATTTTCTCCATTAAATAAATAGAGAAATTTGCAATAGAAATTTATATTTAGGAACAGGCATTTAATAGCCTCAACCTTTGTACTGGTCCCTCTTTAAATTATTGTCCATTTTTTGTTCTCTACGCTTATGATCCAACATTATTGATGTTTTACAAACCATTAATAAATTAAGAGATCCCTAATTAAATATATTTCTAAGTTAAATTAGATGAGTTTAATTGATTTTTTATTTAGTAGTTTAATAATCATAACTTATTTTCTTAAATGTAAATAAGTAGAATGTCTTGGGTTCGAACTCGCATCCAACCTCTAATAAGTTAAAAAATTCTTAGATATGTTTTTTTAAGTATAAATTAGATGATTTTACATGATTTTCTTTATTTAACAATCTAATGATTGAAATTTCACACTCTTACAATCAAATATCAAATGTCTATGCGTAACTTTCAGCTGAGTTGTCCTCATGAAACTGAGTTTGATTGATATTACTATCGTAAAATAATTTTTATATTCATTCAAAAGTTGGTCAACTCTAATGTGTTTGTGATTTGTTATGTTGCATCGGGACCGGCCTAAAGTCCAATGGGCCATTTCGGACCGATAAATATCGACTAGGGTTTTGAAAATGTATATTCAATCATCTCCTATATATCTAAATCTAAAAAATGTATATTATCATAAAGATGCTGAGTTTATTTATTTTTGATCTTACAGGAAGGATACATGGTGCCAAGGACTAAATGTGAGCCATTACCAAGAAACAAGCTTCTAAGCCCTATAATTTTTCATGAGGGAAGATTAGTCCAAAAACCAACCCCTCTAGTTGCACTCTTAACCTTCCTATGGATGCCAATTGGGATCATACTTTCAATCTTAAGGGTATATCTCAACATACCCTTACCAGAAAAAATTGCTTGGTACAATTATAAGTTACTTGGAATAAGAGTAATTAGAAAAGGTACACCTCCACCACCACCAAAAAATGGACAAAGTGGTGTACTCTTTATTTGCAACCATAGAACAGTTTTAGATCCAGTCGTTACAGCAGTTGCATTAGGAAGAAAAATAAGTTGTGTGACTTATAGTATAAGTAAGTTTACCGAAATTATTTCGCCTATAAAAGCGGTCGCACTTACAAGGGAAAGAGACAGAGACGCTGCGAATATAAAGAAACTTCTTGAAGAAGGAGATTTAGTGATTTATCCTGAAGGAACGACTTGTAGGGAGCCGTTTCTATTGAGGTTTAGTGCTCTTTTCGCCGAGTTAACGGATAGGATTGTTCCTGTCGCGATCAATACGAAACAAACCATGTTTTATGGGACTTCGGTTCGGGGACATAAATTGCTGGATCCTTATTTTGTGTTCATGAACCCTATGCCAACTTATGAGATCACTTTCTTGAATCAATTGCCCTTGGAGTTGACTTGCAATGGAGGGAAATCATCAATTGAAGTTGCAAATTATATTCAAAGGGTTCTTGGAGGGACTCTTGGCTTTGAATGTACAAGTTTAACAAGGAAGGATAAGTATGCTATGCTCGCAGGAACAGACGGAATCGTTGGATCAAAGAAGAAAGATTAAAATCGAGAAAAACTAAATGAATTGATTTCAATTTTCTATCCACTATTAAAAATAGTTGAATTTTAAATAAAAAATTATTGATGAAAAAATAAAATGTGTCTTTAATTTTGTCACTAAAAGTTAAAATGACATAATCAAAGATTTATTTTATTTTTTCCCTTCAATTTTTTTTTTTTGAAATTTTTCTAACAGTGATTAATTGTCATTTTTCATGATGTTTAATTTTAAAGTTCTTAGAATTCTCAGAACAATTAAAAAAATATTGTGTTTATGCTCCTAAAAATAACATTAATATGTACATTATTATTATCTGATGAATACAAATGGTTTATTTATGTCAATTGCAAAATTTGTAGTATATATATATATATATATATATATATATATATATATATATATATATATATATATATATATATATATATATATATATATATATATATATATATATATATATATATGATTTGATTTCTCAGTACTGTGTAAACATTAACAGTTATGATGACAAATATAGTACTGATGCAGATGTAACAATGTGGCATATGGGACTGTTAGTTAAACACAAGTAGTAATTAATTGGACAATGCTATTTTTTTTGGATATTAATTTGTAGATGAGTTTGTTTGAAGGTTGGCAGTTGGCTTATTCAAAATGATAATAATAACTTGTAATAATGAAATGTACATATGATTGGTTAACATGATCTGTATATTACAGCTAAGCAACAATGCACCCAATTTGCTTCAAAATAATAAGATTTTTTTGATTTAGAGTGTTTTCATCAAATAGAGAGCAAGGTGGGATTGAAATGAATGTGAACATTGTAAAGATATAACAGCTAATAGAATGACTTTTATTTTTACAAAATGTTTAGAATAAAAAACAAAATCGCATGTCCATGCTGAATAGTGAATATCAAAGCAGACAGTACTTTAAGACAAAAACAACAAGAAATAAATATTGACCAAACTTGAATAAGACAAAACATGAAACTAAGAATTAAACATCACATGGACTTGATTTTTGGGGTAAATCAGTTTTGAAATAGGCCATACCCTTTCTTCTATTGATGTAGTTAGAAATGTTGTTAATAAACAAGGGTAAAAGGTTAGGAAAATTGTGTATTAGGGATGAGGGGTGACATTTAGTAACTCTAAGTAAGTTATATATAGATTTATTGAATAACTAATTTACCTAATTTAAGAATCTTAAAATGATTTCTCGCTTTTGTGATATGTAGTAAATAATAAGAGATGAAGTTATTAAAATATGTAGATTCGAATTGCAACTTTAATAAATTGTTAGTAAATAATCTTCACTATTCTCTATCTATAAAAATTGAACTCTCCTAAAATTTGCATTCTTACAATAACTTTCACTATCACGCCGTACATAACTTTTTATCATGTAAGTAACAAGTTAAGTAGAAGTATGATTAATTAATTTGTTACACAAGTTACTAAGGTTGTTAAGAGTTAATTTGGTTGTTAATAGTTTGTTGTGGTGGTTAGAGTTTATTAGAAACTATGATATTGTAAAATTGTCTCACCATAAATAACTTAGTCCATGTATCTTGTTAATTAAACTTCCTTGTATCATCATTTCAGTCTCAATGAAAAATAATATTTTTTTCATAACATGATATCAAGAGCGATCTCTTGGAAAGCTTGATCGTCTTCTTCATTCTTTTGTAAGTTTTCAACTTGAAGATTGATTCTTCTTGATTGTTCTTAATTGTTCTTCATCTTTCTTCGTTCTATCAATCTATTTCACTAACATTCACCACAAATCTTTGTTCTATTTTAGTTAGTTATAGTTTATTCTTCTATCAGTTAGAATAGTCTTCGTGATTTCCTTCATTCATGGGGCCAGGAAATTCTCCAATTCAACCAATTCAAAAGAGAAAAAAAGGAGAGAAACATATTCTCGTTTTTTGCATTTAGGCTCATTAAGTTGACGATTCTAGATTCGTTAACCGTTGGATCGAGCTCATTTTTTAAGGGAATATTCTAAACACATGTTTTTATCTTTTGACTATTCTTATCTTCAAAAAAAATCTAAGCTGAGAGATATCTGCTTCGCATTGAAACAGCAGATTGAGGTATTTTATCTTCTTCTTTCTTATTTGTAAGCTAGTTTCTTTTGTGATTTTGTTGTTGTTAGCATTAGTTTGTGTATCACTTTGAGAATATATATTGTACCTTTATTTGATTATAGTGGAGTTATTTCTTTGATTTAGATGACCTGGGATTTTTCTCTCACATTGATGGTTTTCCTCATTAAAATATCGGTGTTCTTTAGTGCCTTTATTTGTTTTATTTGTTGTCATATATTTATTGTTCATCCTCACAGGTTCTTATAAGTTTGAGGAATCTTATATCCGCTGCATATTTATTTTTTATTGTGTGTTAATTTTCAAGCAGAGTGGCATTATAGCACTTGGTTATGGGCTATTTTACTTATTTGAGTAATTGAGTTGAATATAATTATGAAGATGGTATTGTTGAATGATTCTAATTATCATTTGTGGAAGGGCAAAATGAAATAATTACTATTTGTGAAGAAATTTCATTTACACGTGTTTAGTTCCACAAAATTATAGAATTAGAGTTTGAACATCTACATGTATATGACTTTATTCAACAATATGTAGAAGGCAATGTTTATAATAATATTGCTAATGAGACACATGTAAAAAATTTGTTAGAGATCCTTGTATGCCTCTAGACCAAGAATAATAAATTGTTCATGTTGAATAACTTTGTAAGTTTGAAGTATTAGGAATTTCATATCACTTGAGTGAATTTTAAAGGCTCATTGATCAGATATTAGGAATGGGTATAAAATTTGATGATCAACTTTTAAGACTATTTCTATTGCTATATTTACCAGAGTCTTGGGAGAATTTTTGGTTTTCTTTCACAAGTTATGCTACTAGAGGTGTTGTTTCTTTGGAAATGTCTAAGGGTGATATTCTTATATGAGAAGGAAGATGCGTGGTAATTCATCTTAATCAGAGGTACTTGTCATTGAAAATAGGAGGAGAAGTTAGAAAAAGGAATCGAATTGAAGTATAAAGAATACTAGAAGTAAGTCCAAGCCGCGATACAAGAATATGGAGTGCCATTATTATCACAAAATATAACATGTATAGAAGTATTGTTATCATTGGAAAAGGGCTAACAAAGACAAGAAAGATGTGTCTAAACAAAAAGATCATGAAGATCACGACGATGATCGTGCTACTAGTGATGATCTTATTATTCTCCGTGATTGTGAGTCTATTAATCTTGAATCATACGAGAGCATGTGGATAGTTGACAGTGGTGCTACATTTCATGTTACACCAAAGAAAAAATTCTTCACATGTTATACTTATGGTGACTTTGGAGTGTTGAAGATGAGTAATGATGGTATAAATAAGGTAATTGGTGTTGGTGATTTTTTCTTAAAAACTAACATCTGAATACAATTATTTCTTGGAGGTGTCAAACATGGTCTATATGTCTTCTTTAATTTTATCTATGTGCATATGCTTGACGGTTGTAGTTAAGACAGTCAATTTGGTTCTAGAAAAGAGAAAGTCAACAAAGGTATCTTGGTTGTTGCTATAGGGGAGAATTTTTCTAAACTATATTGAAAAAAAGCTTTGGTTTCTAGGGACAGTGTGAATGCTACCGATATGGGAGCATCTGTGTGACACATAAGACTTAGTCATATTAGTAAAAAAGGGTTGAATGTTTTGGTCAAAAAGGATGTTCTTTCGGGATTAAAGAATACAGATTTTGAGAAGTGTTTTCATTGCAAGGCTAGTAAACAGACTCAAGTATCCTTCAAGAGATATTCTTCCTCAAGGAAGTCAAAGTTGTTTCAATTGGTACATTATGATGTTTGTGGTACATTAAATGTAAAATCTTTTAATGGTGCACTTTGTTTTTTTATCTTTATTGATGATTGTTCCAAGAAAATATGGGTTTATGCTTTGAAGAGAAAAGACCAAGTGTTGGAAAAGTTAAAATAATTTCATTCTTTGGTTGCGAGGAAGGCATGTGAGAAGCTAAAATGTGGTTGTTCTAACAGTGGCGATGATTATTGTGGACCATTTTATTCCTATTGCAGGTAGAATGGTATTTCACATGAAAATACTCCTCCTAAAACTTCTTAATTGAATGGTTTAGAAGAGTGGATGAACCAAACACTAATTGGGAGAGTTAGGTGTATGCTCTCTGAAGCTAAATTGCCCAATCATTATTAGGGTGAAGAACTTTACACGGTAGTGCATGTTCTTAATCTCACTCCTACTGTTGCTTTGAACAATGAAGTTCTAGACAATATTTGGTTTGGAAAGAATGTAAAGTATGATATTTTAAGAGACTTTGGTTGTAAAATTTTTGTGCATATTCCAAAGGATGAAAGATCCAAGTTGGATGTAAAGTTAAAACAACTTATCTTCATCAGCTATTGGCAAGAAGAATTTGGTTACATGTTGTATGATCCTTAAGGGAAGAAGCTTATCAGAATTTGCGATGTGGTGTTCATGAAAGACCAAACTATTGAAGACATTGATAAGGTAGAGAAGACTACATCCAAGAAAGATATCAATTTTTCTAATATTGATCCACTTCATTTACCTGCTTATAATCTGGACACTATAGGCGGTGATGATCAGAATGGAGAGCTACATAATTATGTTGAAGATCAACAACTTGGAGATAATGCAAATATTCCAACTAGAGGAGAATGATATGTCACAATGAGAATCTTGGTAAAGATCCAAAATCATCTCAAGTTTAACTTAGGAGGTCTAACAGACAGAGACAACCTTCTACAGGGTATAATTATGATGAATATGTGATCTTGACTGATGAGGATGAACCTGGGTGTTTTCAAGAGGCCATGGAAAGTGATGAAAATCAAAAGTGGTTGGATGTAATGCATGATGATACGAAATCATTGTATGATAATCACACTTATGATTTAGTGAATTTTCCTGAAGGAAA